ATATTCATGCGCACACACACACACACACACACACACAGTTACAAAATTTTCCTCACACATTTGTGTGGCATTAATTTTTATATTCGCTTCACAGTGCCTAAAAAATTTTGCACTGCCATTTTTTTGTGCGCATATGTACATACATGCATATGTATGTATGTGCATGTGTGTGCATGTGCTTGCATAAATTTAATTTTTGCCAGTGTATTATTTGAACACATGCGAAAATAAGGAATTGTTTTTCGTTTGTTTTTTTGTTTCCATTGATTTGCTTTTTTAGTTTCTTTTTGTTTTTGTTTTTTTCTTTACATTACATATTAAATTAGTCTCAATTTTACATTAATTACATATGCAGTTTAATTTTTTCATCGCTCAATTTGTATTTTTAATTACATTTATGTAACAATAATATAATTTTCTCTTTATTTTTTTAAATTTATAATAATAGATTTAATTTTGTATTTAATTTTTAATGACATAACTAAAATTAATTACTAAAATTAGTGTGGATTTCTTGTTTTTTATTTTTTATGCTTTGTTCATTTTATTACTATTTAGTATTTCTAATTTTTAATAGTGACATTTATATATAGGTATTTATATATATATAGTAATATACATCTGCAAGTATAAATAAGTTTAGTAGTTTTAGTTTCATATACTATTATCTATTACAATAAAATAATTTACAGTTCGTATCTGTCTTTAACTAATTTACATCTCAAAGATTAAGGATGATTTTTTGCTTGAGTGGACTCATTAATTGGTGTTTGATTTAAAAATTTTCATTTTCTCAGTTCGGTTTTGGGCAAAACCTCGTCAAATCTACTGATAATAAAATGCCAATTAATTGTTGTTCTTGCTAACCGCCTTTGCGAATCTCATGGGAACCGACGCCGGCAACGTATGTATGAAAGCTCCTTAAATAGCCAAAAATATAATTCATGTTTATTTTTCCACAATCTTTATAAATGTAAATATTTTAATTAAAAACTCCTTTCTAAAATATGAAATTGCAAAAAATAAGCTGCCAGTATAGAAATTTTATGCTTTTGCAATCTTTTGCAGTTTGGCAAAAATAAACAGTAAAAAAAACAAGTGTTAAACAATTATGCATCACTTCTAAGACCGACCCGCGTGTAGAGATTTCTTAAGCTTCCTGTCATGTTACATATATCAGTCTAGAAAGAGCTTTTATCTCGTGCGCGCTCATTCAACATCTATCAAAACAAGCGTCGCTGGAGAAACTTTTTAAAGCTTTCTTTGAATTTTATATGGACGTACGCAGAGTAAAAGTTTTTTCTGATCCCCACTGACTTACTGAAATCTTTAAAAAAAGCTTTTCCCGCAAACTATGGTTTGGTCGTTACTGTTTTATATGCATTGATGTGCATATTGTAAAAGCTCCCTTTGCTCAACAGTGCTTTTGAACACTTACGAGTATAATATCCTTTCTATTGAGGCATTAAAAACAAGTTATAATTTTACTTACAGAGCTTGCATCGAGAGTTTATTATGAGCTTTCAATAACTTTAACTGCTAAACCAACACATTTTTTTATAATCAAATATCTCGAAGATAAAAGCTGCCTAAATCGAAATTTCAGTAAAGCTGCCCAAATTATAAACACTATTATATAGCTCACTGATTTCAAAGCTCTGAGGTTTGAAAAGTAATATTTATGTTAATAGCCAACTCTTTGCATGCAGCGTAGAGCGTAAAAGCTCCTTCTGATCGCCAGTGGCATAAAGGCGATTGCAAGAACTCTCAACTTAACTGGCTTAAAGACAGACAAAAAATAAAATAATTTTACAAAACCCAATGCTAAAAAATTTATTTTTCTTCTCTTGTGGTAGTAAATAGCGAATTTCGTATGTATTTACGCTGTTTTTTTGTTAATTTTTTTAAGTTTTTTTTATTTGTTTGTATAAGCTACAAAAAGTTCCCTATATAAAATACATTTTACGAAGTTTTTTTTTATTTTTTCATAACCTTTTTCCTTTTGTAATATTTCTGCAATTTTCAAGTTATGATTAAATGTTTTACTTTGCTTCTTGTTTTCACTACTTTTGATTATTTAGTTTTGTGTTTTTTTTGTGTGGTTCTTTTTATTGCATTTTTTGAAGTTTCGCTAAAGAAAACAGAAGTGTGGAGTGAGATAGGCAAAGCATACAACGAATGTTTAAGGGTGCTTTCATAAAATCGAATAGCTTTTGAAAAACACAGCACTTTTATGATAGCCATTTGTATGCAAAAAAAAAATTTAAAAATATTTCCGTTCAAATTGATTTTTCTAGCGCGTTTTCAAATATGTACTCAAATTAATAGCTGTGCGTTTTGACTTTTTTACTAACACAGTTTTACTGTTGTTTGGTATGCTTGCATATTTTCGTTTACTCTGCATACTTCCGCGTGGCTAAAAAATAATAAAATTTAAATTAAAAAAAAAACAACAAAAATGTTACTAAGTAACAACAGTATATGTGCGTGTGTATGTATGTATTGTGTGTACTTATCAACTATAAGCCTTCTTTGTAAGATAGATACATACTCAGTAGCAAGTGCCTTCAAAAGCGTATTCTAAATTGCCTTAATGGATTTGTACCTGTAAATGTACCAAATACTCCTAATTTTCAAATTTTTTCTTTAGAACTCCAAGTTTTTTTTTTTGCATACACACACATTTCTTTCCTTCTGTTTGCTCTATTCTCTATTTCCCAGTTAAAAGCGCCTAGTTTTCACTTTCATATATACAATCGGTTTATTTTTTGTAATTATTTTCAATATTTTTAGAATGGAATTATTTTATAAAGTATGTCAACGTTGCGATACTTCGACCTGACTTAGATGGTGAACAAATTAAAACAAACGCAATAACAAAGAGAAAACAGCAGAAAATTAAATAAAAATACCAAATAAAAATTTTAAATAAACATACCAAAATGTCAAAATAAACTTAAACAAATAAAAAAAATTGAAAAATGCTTAAGAACGCAATATATAGTATTTGTAAATAATGCGCAAAATTTAGTTTGAAAAAAGTGTGAATGCCTTTAAAAATTTTTAATTTGAGCATTAATTTCCATTTTTTTCTAAAATATATGTAGCTGCCAAAAGTTACTTAAATGCGTCAATTCGTGCTTCCCTGACCCAACTGTCGAAGCTGCTTGAGAATTTTGTTAAGAAAATTAAATAAAAAAATTGCATTGAACAAATTAATAAAAGCGAAATAGTGAAAAAAATAAAAAAAACATTACCAAAAAAATTTATCTATATAAAAAAATTTATGAAAAAAATGTTTAAACATATTTTATGTAGAAATAATGCGCAAATTTTATTTAAAAAAAAATTTAATTGCCGCATTAATTTCCATTTTTTTGCAATATATTTAGCTGCCAAAAGTTACTTAAATGCGTCAATTCGTGCTTCACGGACCCAACTGTCAAAGCTGCTTGAGAATTTTGTTAAAAAAAATTTAAATAGAAAAAATTCCATGGAAAGTTAAATAAAAAGAGTCGCGTTCGTACAATAAACATCAGCAATGCATTATCGAACAAATCAAATAAGAAAGCATATTCACTTGTTCATTTCTTCTTCCTTTCATAAATTAACCTCTCTAGTTATTAATAATTATCTGTTTGCAGTCTTTGGTTATTAAAATTTTACTCTAAAACATATAGTTTAATTAATAATGAATTTCTCATTTTCCTTTACTTTACGACACCTATCAATATTTTACTTTTAATTACTCCTTATTTTAAGCTTTTCTTCTGTTTACTATTTTTTTTTAGTTTCCACCGTTCTGTATTTTATAATATTTTTTAAATTTAAAATTTGCAGTTAACTTTTTGCGGCCTGCCTTATCATGTATGTAAATATGTAACTCGAAATCGAGTCGGATCTACGCGCATACATACATACATATGTCTATATATTTAGCCGAAACCGCTACAAAAAAAAACGTAGTAAGCGAAATTTTTTTCCAACATTTTCTTTTTGTTGCAGAAATGCATCTAGATGATTTAGGAACATTTCTGCATCAAAAAGAAAATTAAATTTTGAAAAAATTCGTCGGTTACGCTTTTTTGGCGATTAAGACTCGATATGATAAGGCTGTTAGTCTCCTTTTTTCTTTCCTGCTTTCTACTCTTCATCGTCTCCTATACTATGTACTCTTCACTAGACAACTGCCGCGGTGGTGGGCCTGGCGCTTTCTGGTCATTGGGGCTCTCTCATTTATACCCTACATACAGCAGCGATCAGAATTTACTTGTACATTTGATATTTAATTGTTTGAAAATAGGCAAATAAATAACAGTACTTTTATATAGTACATACATAGATATCTTCAACTGCAGAATTGCGTAAACGCGCGCCTCAATGCTTGTCCATTATTATTTAAAAAAAAATAATCATCATTTACAAACATTTACTTAAATACGAGTATCTAACGATATAGTACATTATCTTTTTCGTTTGCGCTGGCTTTGCTTCTTCTTCTTATCTGTTTTCTTCTTCTGCTTAATCTCCAGCACCGCTGCTTTTTAAAGTCGCGCGCAAGTGTGCTCACCGGTAGACAGCTTGGGTGAAAGATAGAGAGGGAGAGAGAGAGAGAGAGAGAGAGAGAGACAGCGAATTCGAAGGCGTAACCGGAAATCAACTGCGTATGCTAAATGCAAGTCATTGTACATTAAAATACTGTTGCTCAGAAGGTTGAATGTGTTCTCCTGCAATTGCACATACATATGTAACAGAAACAGCTGATCTGCTCGCAAAACTAGCTCTACTACCACCGCTCACGTATGCATTTCACTACACTGTTGCCTAAATACCTAGCACTCGCCACAACCCACCGCCTGCAGTGGTTCTTCATCTTCATATTCAGCTTCAGCTTTTGCTGTTGCTGCACATTTCGTTTCCGTTTCGAATCCAACTCGGTACGCGGTACTCGGTACTCGTTACTCGGTAGTACGCTAGTTTTCTTCTATGTTATATGTATGTTTTTATGTTTGTATGTATCTACATGTAAATGGCATATTCCCTAACATACATGTGTAGTACATACATACATATTCTCATAATTTTCTGCTACCCTTTTTCTTTCTACACATACTAACTACTTAGTACTCGCCATTCGAATCGAGCAGTCGTTTCTTGGGCGTCACATCGCCTTTTCGCATATGATGATGGTGATGATGATGATGATGATGCGTATGATGATGATGGTGTGCATCTGCCGCCGATTTTAACGAATCGCCGCCACCATTGTTGCCGCTTAAAATGCTTGCCGTACCGCTGCTGCTGCCATTTCCCGTTAGTCCCAATTGTGAAATTGGTATGATATTGGTCGGTGAGTCGGTCTGTTGACAGCGGCAACCTCGTCCCACAATACGGCCATAACATTTCTCGCAAAACGAGACGCAACCGCGCATTGGCCAATACAACCAAAGGCAGGGTAGCACTAACGATAGCGCGCCCAACCAACCCCAACGCTGTGTACGCTTATAGGGTCCACACGAGCAGGGATTGTCGACGCATGGTGTGCCGGAACCATCATCGCAGTCCATGTCATTGTCGCGTGCGCAATGGTAGAATAACGCTTTGGCGCAGCATAGACACGACACGTAATCGATGACTGATTCGGCGCTGCAGAGGCAGGTCTTATTGCAGAGCCACGTTTGCGGTAGATGTGGTGGACTTTGGCACTGTTCGCAACGGCAATGACCGCAACGTGGGCAGATGATTTGATTTAAGGATGATGTGTCGCCGCCGCTGCCGCTGCCGCCACCGCCAATGATGATGGGCGTACCGAGCGGACTGGCGCCATGTACGGCGGATATCATGCCTTGTGGCGTGGAGATGCCCGTCGCTATGTTGTGCATGGTCAGTAGGTCGTCGAATGCGGGTATATCTTTAGCAAATTTGCAATTGTTGCTGTCGATGTGCGACATTTGGCTGATGGTGGTGGTGCTGGTGGTGTTGTTGGTCGTTGAGGCGGGTTGTTTCGTGATTGCCGGCGTAAATGACTGTTGCGAGCTGGTGAAGCTGCCCAAACTGCCGCCACCACCGCTGTGGTGGTGTCCATTCTGCGACGCAACTGGAATCACCTTGCCCGTATGCGGGCAGGTTGTTGTCGCTGTCACAGTGCTGGACGTGGGCGTTTTGTGATTATGATGCGAATGTATGAAGCCGTCCGTGCCATCAATGCCCGCCGTGATGGTCGCCGAACCCACAGTTCCCGTCGTCGTGCGGTTCGTCGTATGCAGCAGCTGCTGGTGTTGGTGTTGCTGATGCTGGTGCTGTTGCTGTTGATTCTGCTGATGTTGCAGACGGAATTCACGCTGTGGCAACAAAAGCAGATGATGCGTTGTCGTTTGACCGCCATCATGCTGTCCCGCCGGATGTTGCGCGCGTGAAGCGTGTTGTAGCTGCAGTTGATTCGGTATGACAGCGTTGGCGGCAGCATTTCGGAACGGAGTATCCACATACTCATTGGTGAGCCGCTGGGACTCGGGTCGCGGTTGAGCCAGCGTGACTGATGTGGCAGCAGCAGCTGGTTCGGTGCTATGGAAATGACTGAGTAAACCAGCGATGCCAGCACTGAGGCCACTGTTGGTGTTATTGCTCGCTTGAGTGCGGGCGTTGCTGCTGCTGCTGCTGGTATTATTACTATTTACAAGTAGTCGTGCGGCAGCGCCTGGCGTAGCCGGTAATTGTCTACGCCTCGTAAATGTATTCGCTGCTGTTATGGAGGACGACGACGTCGAAGAGGATGTAGTGCTAACGTGACTGTTATTGCGGCTGAGGTTTAAAGTGGTCGGCCGTTGTGGCAGTATCGTCAAATGATGAATTTCGTAGTCCTCGTATTCTGGTTGTATCAGCGTATTAACGACATTAGAAATGTTAACGTTATCATTTTGACTCGTACTCGTACTCGTACTTGTACCAACACCTCGGTCTACGCTCGTAATACTATATTGACTTGGATGATTGTTGCTATTTAAATTTTGTTGTTGTTGTTGCTGCTGCTGCTGATGTTGTTGTTGTTGGTTATTACCATTTGTACATTGCGTTGATGCGGTGCTCGTCGTCGTCGTCGCCGTTATCGCTGATGGCGTCGTCGCTGCTACTGCTGTTGCTGCTGCTGCTGCCGCTGCCGTCGTCGTCGTTATCATTAGCTGCTGCTCCTGCTCCCGCCGCTGTTGCTGCCACTCCTGTTGCATTTGTATTTCGCTTAGCATAGTCTCTGGCTCGGGTGCTCTGGGACGATGTACACGTGGTAAGTGCTTTGGGGGGCCGCGGTGGCGCCAAAATATCGCCGCCATTTCTACGATCCATGTAGTGTGGCAAACTTGTGTTGGAGAAACCTCAGTGCCCTCGGTACCTTAGCCGTGGACCATCAGTTTCCCTCATTCTTTTGCTCTGTTGCTCAAGCGAATTGCCGAATGGTAGTTAATAATGCTAAGTCGGCAGTTTGTAATTCTGAACGAAGTTGCTGATCAATTGGCACTGTGTTGAGAGTGAAACGATTGACTTTCTGAAATGAGAGAAAGAGAGAGGGAAGAATTATTTAAATGCAATTTACAGGCATAGAAAATATGTTATATGTACAGATGTTAGCACAATACTTATGTTTGTAAAAAATTTCTGAGGAGGAAGAGCTATCAAAAACAAACTTCCTGCAGCTTTACTTTTGGGTGCTTGGGGTAGGTTTTGGTCGTGACTGGCTTATGGGCACCTCAACGGGTTTTTATAATTTTTAGACTGTATATGTATGTAAATTAATGGTCCAGGGTAAAATTTCTCTCCACTCGGCAGTGGTTTTAGGTGTTAGCAACTAGTGGGAGCTTTTATTCCGCGTGCATCCATATAAAATAAATAGACACCTTACGACAAGCTCTGGGCGGCATAGATGGCGCCTTTCTTGTGGGCGGATATCTTTATTTGTATACAGGAACATGGTAATAGCTTTCTTACCCATAACGGTCTTAGAGCGGTAGTGGGCACCGCCCTTGCTCGCGAGCAAAGCTTTCTTAAGCTTTCTATATACTTTGTATAGACACGTGCAGAGTAAAAGGTCTCTCCCTCTCTCTACCCGTTAGTGGTTTGGAGTTTCCCTTTCAATATTTTCTTAAGGCAGTCACGACTAAAACTTATCCCGCCGGTAAAAAATTTTCAGAACTTTTTTTTTGGATTTCTAAAATCACTTCCAAAACATATAATGCGGTGTAAGCTTTTTAAAGCTCCCTACAAATTTTTAATAGGCGCGCATATTGTAAAAGCTCTTCCTGATCATCACTCTTTTAAAGTTAGGAGACTGTGGAAAGCTTTAGTGTCGACTGAGCCATAATTTAGTGCAGTGGAAAGCCTTTCAAAGCTCTATTACTACTAAAATAAGAACGAAATGTTGTGTTCTTTTTTTTAAATACATATTTGAAGTTATTAATCATCCATAGACATATGTATATGTAAATGTAGCAGAGTTATTCCACAAATTTTACGCATTCATATTTTTTTTCCATAAACACACGCACGTACATGTGTATGTATGTATATGTAAGTATGAATATTTCCACAGCTTAAAATATCTACATATATCTACATATTTAGATACTGGTGGATGAATCTACATACATACATATGGATAATTTTACACTAAACTAAAAATAATTGCAAATTTTTCCATAACAGTCTTAATAAACAAAAATTATTATAAATACTTAGTGTGAAAAATATGCAAAATGATATTCGAAAAATTTTAAGTATTTTCCACTAATTGTTTATATATGTATACATATGTACTTACTTAGTTGCGTATGCAAGCATCCACCCCAATAGGAAAAGAGGCGCATGTATAAGGAATTTGAAAGGAATATGTGTAGATTGTTGCTGAATTTCCAAAATTTTTATATTTTATGCAGTTTAAATTTTTAAAATATTTATTTATATTTTTTTGTTTTGTTTTTTATTACCATTTTTTCATTTACTTTAAACTTTTTGTGAAAGCTCTATTTTTTTGTAAGAAGCAAAAATTGTATACTGATTTATAACTCTCATAATTTGAAAAAGATTTTTTTAAATATAAAACGATTCTCATTGAATATTTCTACAACGAAATATTTTTAAAATTTTGACCATTTGAAATTTGAACCATTTTCATTTTATACAGTATATTAAAACTTTTTTAAAAAATACGAAAATTTTTTTTAAAATAGTGGCCCAAAATTTTTTCCCGTGCCGCCAGGGCTTTGAAGTTGTCGATGTATTTTATGTGGGGAAAATACATTTTTTTGTAAAATTGCTATAAGATCGATAAATAAAAATAAATATTTTTCGATCGAATAAGACTGCTTCCCTTCAGAAGTCTTCAAAAAATAGCACTATGATGCTTCTTTAATGTAAAAATTTTACTAAGTGTGTTTAAATAACCGATAATTCTATCTGTTATATACAAAAAGTAGTTACTTTAAGTTTTCATAACCACATCACGCACGAACAGCTCAATGGATGTGGTTAATTCTTTTTAGTATTCTACTCGTTGTCTTCTGTAGGTTTGTGGTAAAAATTTTTGAAAAATAGAGTTGCCAGACATTCGAAAATTTTAAATTATTTAAAGGTCAATAACATATTTAAGTTTCTTCATCAAAACTAAAAGCCTTTGAAGATATTTAAAAATATGTTTGTACGGGGTGCCACCTTTCTAAAAGAAAATAGAACAACCACTATACTAAATTTTCAAACTATTTATTCAGAGGTTTTAGAAAAAACTTTAGTGTGCAGTTTTATAGCCTACTAATTTTTACTACAAAGTATATAATGAGCTATGCATTCATAAACAAATTTTAAGCACTAAATACACAATAGAAAAATAGCCAAAACTTTTTAAAATGTCGCGTCCCAATTTATATTTTCATCACAGTACTGTATGTATGTACATACACAGTTACATACATATTCACATGAAAACACTTCGTCGTTAGTCCTATTTCTCGCAGGGTGTATAAACAATATATCTACATTTTTGGCTTTCAAGGTGAATGAGAGTAAACAAAAGAGTTCTGAATATTTTTCGTATGAAATTCAATAAAATTTGCTTCTATGTAGAGCCAGTTTGATGTTGAGTAGAAAATAAACGATTGCTATACCACCATCAACCATACCTACTATCGAGCTTTGAGCTATCTGTGTGTACATACATAGATAGACTCGCCCCTTTTCTGAACCTTCTAGTTTCCACCCTTCCCTTGAGGGTAGAAGTCTGATGAACGATGGTGAGGGGTACTAGAGCAGAGTCTACCTGTCCGGCTACGGGAGCTCTGCCAAAATCTTTCCATGACCAAATCTACAGTTTCACCACCCACTTAGGGCCTTTAAATCTAAAGCAGTAATATTTAGTAAAGTAAACAAAAAATTCAAAAGTGCGGCAACATTTTGAAGCCCATGAAAACCACATCAATTTTGAGGTTTCTTGCCATGCTAACTTGATGTGTGGCCATATTTAGAAAATATATAACAAAAGTATATAATTATTGACCGGACACACTTTTGTTAGTATGTAGGTATACATAAATATGTATTTAAAAAAAAAAATAAAAAAATTTATATAAAAAATTTTCGATTTTGAGTTCATTGGATTGGAATGTGCTGGCCAGTTGTTGAATTCCGAACATCCCGATTTACAATTTATGAATTTGACTTGATGCTGCACGATCTTTTTGTATATTTGTGTTGTATATTTTATATATACATACACATGCATCTACATATGGTTGTATATGCATACATATGTATGTACATTAGACCATACCAGAAAAAAAGTTCGCCCGACACTGCTGAGTCCAAAGTATTTTTGCAAGGCAATTTCGATTTTTACTTTTGGCCAAATCTAGGGATCACCTTTTTACAATTTTCATTACATCTTCGGTATTTACAGTCGCATTTTAAAGTATGAAATATCGATGCTCTTTTTCGAGGGGAAAATTTAGTATTTACATACCAGATTTCAGTTCCTACCACCCTAAAGTACCACCCTATTTTTTTTAATTATTCCAATAGAACTATTAAAAAAAATAAAAAATTGCTGCCTCAGGGATGTACGGCGAACTATTTTGTTTGCTTTTAGGGTGGTGTGGTCTAATATACATATATTCATTCACTTATTTTCCTTTCGTCATATTTAATTGTCAGTTTAACACATTGCCTGTCGCAATAATAATGAATGAAATATGTAATTGGCGTTTGGCAGGCAAACGCGCGGCAAAAATAACATAAAAATACCAACGGATTAAATACAAAAAAAAAACGTTATTTTAAGTTCATTATTCAATTTTTTATGTTTTTGTTTTTAACATTCGATTCCGCTTTAAACAAAACATACGCAGCTTCCATTAAAAATTTGCAATTGATTGAATTTTTGAATGAATATTTTTGGCCTGATGTGTCTCTGTGTTGTTGCCGTTGCTGTTGTTAATGTGTTGCACAAAAATTGTTTTCTTCAATATTATTAATGAAATTTCACAGATTTGCATCCACACTGTGATGTTCACAAAGTAAGGATGTAAGTATATACATTAGGGTGCTACTTAAATGTAGAGAGCAAGTTTGTACATCAGATTCCCTAAGTCTCAACCCCTACATCGATGCTACTATAGTCGAAGATATCACTTACAAACTTTGGTCCCTATTGAAGTCTGTTATGGCGTGTTGCACAGGGGCCCAAATTCGGATTACCCTATGAAGACGTCTTAATCGACTCCAATTGGGACCAAAATTTATAATGTGATATCTTCGACTATAGTAGGTAGTATCGAATTTGGGTATTAGATGAAAATAAAAAAAATTAAATTTTAAGTTTTTGAGTTCCTATCTATAGAGGAATCTGAACTTTACCCTCTGTGCGACACGCCTTAACCGTCTCCAATTGGGAGAAAAATTTATATGTGATATGTACGACCGTATTATGACCGATTGTGGGGGTGTAACTGAAAAAAGTCGTTCAATTGATTTTGTAAGGACCACCCTTATCTACATACATACATAAGTATGTAGTATAGGAAGCACTCGTGAACATCAAAATATCCAAAAATAACAAGTGAAAGAGATAAATTGAAATACAAAAAAAGATTGGAAGAATGAAAAATAGCAACAATTACGCGAAATGTTTAAAAATACGAAATTCTGCGCTGAGAAGTGGATATACATATAAATGTAGGTATGTACATATGTACAAAATAAAATTTGGCAATCGAATTGTTGTTATATCTACAACAAGTTTTTATTTCCGTTTGTTCTTATTAATTTAAATATATGTACATAAATACATAACGACTGGTGTGTTTTATTAAACACGACCAATATCGCGTAGGCGGCTACAGCGTTAAACAAGGAAGAGAAGTCATTAAAAAGGAAAGTTGGAAGGTTAAAATGTACAACCGATTTAATAAGGAACAATGAGATATTTTGCATATTAACTCATTACAACAGTTCGTTCGAACCTAACTCCCTGGAGTGTATATGGGGCATTCCTGCCCGATTCGA